CTGGTCTTTGCGCCTCCTCATGGGGAGGGCACAAAGGTCTCCAAAAAAGGACCATAGGCAAACTTTCCTTGTCACTGTGCATGCAGGGTGAAGGCATCGGGAACACTGGGGGCTTGCAAGCTGAAGCACGACTAGGAACCAACACTGGGATCACAAGGACAAAAGGGGTGAAAGCATCTGGAGCTCTCAGAACAACTACACTCCCAAGGTGTGGTGATGGATGGTTTTCCTCCAGATCTCATGAATAAACAAGGAAGGAGGCTGAGGGAGACAGGAATCCTACCTGCTCTTGGAGCTGCAGGAACCAGATAGGTCATGGCTGCTCCTGCCTGGGGAGAAGTGACACGGGGCTCCTGTTAGCAGCAGCCCACACACTGCCAGGCAGGGAGCTGTGGACCTGCACCTTACCTTTTAATTTAACAGTGGTAATGATGATAGCCAAGAGTAAGAGCAATCCAATCATCAATCCTGCTATGATGACTGTGGCTGTTGGGAAGAGAAGGAGGTCCTGGTAACGACAAAGGGATATGCCAGGCACATCCCAAAGCACCTCTGCTCAACATCAGAGCAGGGATGCTTCAAACCCTGCTAAACCCTTCCTACCTTGCACCACTGCTCCCCCCAGCTCTGCCTCCCTGCTGCACACCCCCATTCCACTCTGGGACAGTTGTGGGGCAACCCAGACCTCTCCTCTTGATTTTCCAGTGGCAAAAAGAGTGAATGATGCTGAAGCTGCTCAGAAAGCCTGGATATCCCCCAGGAGCTGTAGGAAGAGGTAAACTGCTCTGGCCTCAGATTCCCCAGTCTCCAGCATGGATTTGGGGCAGCATGGCAATGGCAGTGGTGCCTTGGGGACCCTGTGACATTTGGGGACCAGATGCAGACAGATGGCAGCTCACCAGAGCAGGGATGCAGGCTGTGCTTTCTGATGGGGTGGGGGAGAGAACAGGGAAGAGAGGAGAGAAATGAATGCTTCGATAAAGCCCCTGACTGGGGACCTTTTGCAGGATGTGTCCTGTCCCCAGCACATCCCCAGCACATCCCCAGCATCCCCCACGTGTGCATCCTTTGAGAGCTCTCACCTGCACAAAGGGCAGAGGGAAAGACAGTGGCGTTGCAGCTGCTGACGGGGTTCTGTGCTGTGCAGGTGGTCCAGATCTGCAGGGTTCTTCTGCCTCTCCATCACCACCACCACTCAGATCCCTGTCTGTCTGGCTGATCGTTGTAGCTCCAAAAGAAGGAACTGCCCCCTGGGGGGGTCCACAGTGAATTGCAGTTCCACCCGGTGCAGCTCACCATCAGCTCCAGCAGCTCACCTGTGAGAAGTGAAGGGGCTGTCAGCAAATTCCCCCACCCCACTTCCAGCCTGGGGCCAGAAGCAAAAAACACTCATGGTACACATGCAGGGTGAAGTTCACTTTGACCTCGTTGTTTTTTGTTAAGTAGGTGCCACTCCTCCTCAGCTGCTAGATGGTGAGCTGCTGTTGTTGGGAAAGGCCACGCAGAACACAAAGGATTTGTCAGAAAACACGAGTTTAGGACATGCCCCCAATCTGATGACCAATATGGGTTCATCACGGAAGCTCCAGGTCAAGTATTCTCCTATCAGGTTCTGAAGGTGGAATGTGACAGACTTGCCCTCTGCCCTGGCTACGTCCATCCCATTGCTGAGTAGAAAAACCCAGCTGAGACCAGAGGAGGGGTGCAGGGCTCTAGGGTGCTGCTTGTGGAGCCCTCCACCCTAGGGGATGGATCTTTGTTCCCTGAGCCCCTTCTTGCTGTTTGTGCTTTCACATCCCCTAAGTACATGGCTGCACCAGGAACATGCAAGGGGTGAAGCAAAAGCGCAAGGAGGAATTGGGATCAGCTTGGAGAAGTCGAGCAGGTTCCCTCTACATGGCAGATGAGATGGCCAAGTTCACCTAAAGGAGCCTGTGGAAAGCAGGTGGCCTCTGCCTTGAATTTGACACTTCCCTCTTCTGAGGAGGGAGAAGACACTGTCCTGTTATCTTTCCTACTTCCATTTTAAATCCCTTCTGCCTTGCTTGAACCTGGAGTGGAGCTTCTTTCCCCCCTGCAGCTTGGGAAGAATGGATCTTGGCACCAGGAGGCGTTCTCTCTCCAATGCTCATTTTTGAAGCCAAGCAAAGGCAGCTTTGCCCACACCCCTTCCCTGGTGAAGGCTCCAAGGACAAGCTGCCCTGGCCATGGGGAAGTGTTGGTGGGGGAGATAAGGATGGAAGGGATGGAAGTGCTGCTGCATGATGCATGTCCTTCAGTTCCCTGTCCAGGCTGATAACAAGGGCATGGAGTCACCACCAGCATCACAGCTGCACCCCGTTGCCCCTGCAAGTGTCACAGCCAGCTGCAGACCCTACATGAAGCATGGGTTTCTGATTACAAAGAGCATCTCCGTCCTGCAGGGGAGCAAACCCCATCGTGAGCCAGCACCTGGCGAAAGCCAGGACCCCAGCAGGACTCAGGGACCTCTCCTGGCTCTCCAATGCTGATTGGGAATTCATGTGATTTTCCCTTCTGCACTTCTCTCAGGTTTACTTCTGTGCCCAGGACATAATGAGACACACAGGTCTTCCCAGTGTTCGTGGCAGCTTGGAAATCAGCCAGAAAGCTGTGCTTCATTTTCAGAACCAGACCTAAATACCCCATAATGAAACCGTGAGAGCTGGAGGTACTGAAAATTCTGAAGCAGCTCATGGGTGGCAACAGGGAAAAGACCCCGAGCTCAACACAGGAGGGCTGCAGAAGGATGCAGAGAGCAGCAGCGTGGTGGCAAGGCTGGAGCTGGGAGCTGGCACTCATCATTATCTGCGGTGGGATCAGGACAAGATCTGGGATCTGCCCAACTGCTTTGGGACAGCACAGCAAAGCCCTAATAATAAGCTAAAAAACAACATCTGTCCTCACAGAAGGCACTGCACTGTGTGCTGATGGCTCTGCATGAGACAGAGCTGCCAGAACTCTGTTCTCCTGGGTGTTCCCAAACCAACCCTGGCTTCAGGATCCCACCCTCCCTCCCATCCACGAGGGAAGCGCACATCTCACCCCTGCTTGCTTACTGGAGGTGGAAGGTGAGCAACAGGCATCAAAATACGTCCAGCTGACCTCACAGCATAGCTGGGTGTGCTCTGCTCATATAAGAACCACTGCTTGCAATGACAAAACGAAGTGAGAGTATGACAGAATCATCAGAAACAGAACTCTCACATCAGCCCAGCTCCAACACATCCCCACTGTGCTGGGAAAACTCAAAAGATGGTGACGCCCCCCTGGACCAATGCATCACCACTCCTTTGGAAAAGGAATTGTTCCTAAAGTCCATTCTGATGCCACCCTCTGCATCCAACCCCATTTGGGCTCACCCCAAATGCCATCCCTAAGGAAGGCATGTGTGATAATGGAATTCTTCCGAGCCCAGCAAGCTTGCAAGAGATGCGTGATGGAACTTCCCATAGTGTGTGCACTTTTTGGTAGGCTGGGAAAGAACGGAGCAGTCAATGGGGAGCGGTGTATTTCGGGGCCAGATCTGGGTGAAGCCCGGCTCCCAGCTGCTCTCTGCCCTGCTGAGAACACCGGTGAGCACCGATGGATGGAGGTGCGCATGGTCCCCCTGGTGGCTGCCATCTCCATGTAGGGACGGCAGCCACCGCTGCTCCCGGCTGGCGCAGCTTGAGGCCATCACCTGTCATCATCTCATCGCTGTTTTCTGGGTGAAGAGACCAACCCCCATCCACGCTACATCCTCCTTGTAGAGAATGGGAGTCATAAGGTCTCCCCTGGGCCTGCTTTTCGGTGATAGGGTGCTTGGGGGGTTTCTGCATTAACCACACCTCGCAGGCATTTCACTGCCCACCTGCAGGTCCTTCTGCTTAAGCTCAATTCTGTTTCTCAGAGGGTTTCCAGGTGTTCCTGGTGATCTTAGGCCCTGATCCAGAAGGTTCAAAAGCTTTCAAAGCAGAACCCACAGGTTGCAGTGCCGGCTGCTCTGCTTCTGGCTTTGCTCAGGCTGGTCCCTGTAGCCCAGAGAAGAGAGCATTGCAGTTTAACCCACGGATTTCCTTCCCCCCATCACTTCAACTTGATGTTCCCATTGCAAAGAGGGTTGAGGTGCAAGAAAATCCCGTAGGGCACATGGAATGAAAACCAAAGGTGAGAAGCCTCCAGGCAGAGCGTGGCAGCAGTGACACAAGACATGATCATGTGTGTGAGCAGTGTCACACCCAGCAGCATGCTGGTGCTCCTGGACCTCCATCACTGGGGTATGCAGTGTGAGGGAGATGAGAGCCAAGCTGTCCACCTGCACAAACTGCTCTGTGAGCACATCTGGCGGTGATCCTTACAGCAGCAGCACAGCTCTGCAGACTTCCCAGGGATGGAGAGGGAGGACTCACATGGTGCTGAGGGCATGGATGGCTGTGCCAGGCTGGACAGCAGAGGGTCAGCTGAAACACAGCAGCCACTTCCCCAATTTGGCTTATTTTGGGAAGCGGTCTGACGCTGGCATCATATCAAAATTGGAGGGAAGTGTGCAAGGCCAGATGGGGATGTCTGGCTTCGAACTTGTGATGATTCCTCTGCTGGGGTGAAGGAACAGGCTCAGCTGTTGCTCTCCTCCCCAGTGCTGAGCCATGGGAGGGTGAGCAGGAGCAGCGGATGTGATCAGCTTCTCCTGTGGGTAATGCAGGCACTTTTTCAGCACAAGGTGCATGCAAGTTATCATTGCTCAAGACAGAAATAGTTACCAAGCCCTTAAGGGAAGCTCCTTCTTTGTCCCATGCTGGTGGAGGACAAGACAAAGAAGGAGTTATGAGGATGTGCTCCTGGGGAAGCAGCATCTTTGCAGACCTCCCAAGAAAGCAGCTCAGCTGATTTTTTGCTGAAGTAATGGGAAGAGGAAGCTTGAGATGTGTAGAAATGCAGTTCTTTCCCCCCGGAGCCTTACCCAGCTGCAACCCTTGCGTGCTCTTTCACAAGCCTTCCTGAAAGATTTCCCCATAGCTTTATTTTCTCTAGCAGGTGAGATCGGCCGTGCTGCCTGAGCCCAGCAGCAGCACAGTTGGAAAGAGCCGACAGCCCTGAACCACCCCTTGTCCTGGTGCTGTACATGGTGGGCACACAGAGCTGCCCATACCCCTAAACTCAGCCGGACACCCGGCCCAGGGGATGGAGAAGCGATGCGGCGCTTCCCACGGCCACGGGAGAGCTGGGAGAGCTGCGGGGGCTCCTCGCTGTGACACCTCGAAACCTCCTACGGGGCACCTTCTGATTCGTTGGTTTTCTTTTTCTTCTGTAGTTCGGCAGTCCACGTTGTCCCCTATGGGCTCCCCCTGGCGAGTCCGTCCCTCCGAGCGCTGCTGTTGTCTCGTCCTGTCCCGGCGCTGCTCTCTTTGCTTTCTTTCCTTCCTTTGGCCATTCGCGTTGCTCCAGCGATCATCAGCGCGATGCTTTGGGGCCAGGAGCAGCGTGTCCCATTTCCGCAGGGATGGGCAAAGTCCCCTGCAGGGATGCTGGGTTTGGATGCAGGGTGCGGTGGCGGAGCCGGGTCCTGCCCCGCGGGGAGCCTCAGCTGATGGGCAGCATCATGGCACAGGCTCCGTGTTGGGGCTCTGCAAGGCAAAGTGAGGGTGAGCGAGGTGCTCAGATCCACCTCAACCCCTTTCCACTTACCTGAGAGCTGTGTGGGGCCAGGGATGTGCCAGTGGCTGCAGCATAAGTGGTGGTGCAGGTGGGGTGATCAGTGCCCAGGGGGCTGCAGGGGGACTTGAGCTTCTGTACAGGGAGCAGAAAGTGAGCAATAGCAGCCAGCTTGCTGCTCTCCTCTTCCTCCAGCACTACAAGGCCTCCTGATAGAGTTATCCCCAGAGCCACCTTGGGATGCTGAGGGCTGTGGAGATTGCAGCACCCAGAACAATCCCAGAGTAAAGCAGCCCTGCTGGAGGTGACACTTGGGGAGCCCACAGCCACCCCACTTCTGAGTGGGTATGACCTCACTGTCCCCTGTTGCAAGGCTGCATTGGCACCCTGTGCTCCAACCTCACCGCCCATAGAGCTGCAAGGACACAGCTCTGGGGCATTGCACCCTACAGGGCTCACTCACCTCCACCCGCTGCACCTCAGAGTAGATGATGTGCACTGTGCTGTCCTCAGCCAGAGGCAACTGCTCCCTTGGTTGTCCTGCACCAGGAACACAGCAAAGTCACCACGGGGATGGGGGGAGCAGCAGGACCCCTCCTGACCCCATACTTCTCCCCCCATGAGGTTCCCAGTGGTTTCCCATGTTGCATCCAACCCTGACGCAGCTGTTTGGCTACGGGCTCATTAGCTTGGTGAATTTGTCACTGTTCAGGGTGTTCACCCTCACCAGGGCGTTCTGCAGGGATGTTGCTCTCTTGAGCTTGGGCTGAGATCACACGTTTCTCCTTGAAGCTGTGTGATATCATCAGAGAAGCGCAGCATCCGCACAAAGCCCTTCAGGTCACATACTAGGCAAAGCAGGTATCTATGTCTTTTTTTTTTCTTCTTCTTTTTTTTAAAGCTGCTTTCCTTCCTGTCTGTTACCCGATGCTTAAAAAGAAGCAGGACCCACTCAGCCTTCCACCCATGGGAGCAGGGTACCCCAACACAAGCCTCGGGGAGCTGTGAGCTGCTCCTGTCACCGCTAAACCTTCACGCCCTGCACTCACTCATGTTTGCAGCCACATAGGCCACAGCGAAGGCCCCAGCAAGCACCATCAGGATCATTATGGGCAGCACCACCAGCATCCCTGTCCTCCAGCTGCCTGTGGCTCAGAGAGAGCGAGGGTCAGCATCCAGCAGAGAGAGCTCATCGTTAACCCCACCCCTCCCTGTACCTTCTTGCCTATTTATGGGGCTGAGGATTTCAGAGAACGATAACAAGGAGCAGGAAATGCCTTTTTTTTTTTTTTTTCTCTCTTTTTTTTTTTTTTGAGCTGAACTCTTTATAGTCAGCTTCAAAACGCAACGGCCAGCATAAAAATGTCACTGAGGGGCGGATGAGGCTCTGACACTTCTCTGGAGGCTTTGTGGGGAGCCCAGGGGCAGAGCTCTGCACCTCCAAGTCCTCCTGAAGGGACAGAGGCTGCCACACATGTAAGTGTTACAGGGGCATCCCTGCGTGTGTAAGGTTTGGAGCGACCCAGTGCTGGGAAATGCGCCTTGCAGCACCTCGTATCAGCATCTTCCCCTCTTTAGTGAGACCTAGAGATGATGTGGGGACCTTTGCTGGGCACAAGGCATTGAGAGAGCCCCACGTGGGTGGGGGACAAAGAGGTGGTGTCACCGCTGTGTCCCCAGGGTGAGGGGCAGCCACTGCATCACACAGCCACAGCAAAAGTCCCCACGTCACAAGGGAGGGCAAGAAAAACCCAATGACAGAGAGCATGATGTTGGCCTCAAGAGCCCCATGGGGGAAGTTGAGGTTCTCATCATCCCCAGCTCTCCTGGTGTGCAAATCTCATGCGTTTCAAATGGGCCTGGTGCAGCGGGGCGCAGCGAGCACAGCTCGGCGCTTATGGGAACGGCCATGCAGCCCACAGAGGTGCTGTGGCTTCTTTTCCTGCCAAAGGTTCCTTCGAGGTGAAGAAAGCAGTGTGAAAAAATCCCCCACGGGGCTGAGGGTGGGGGAGAGAATGGAACCAGGGCTGCTGCACCCCTGGGGGCTCACCTTGCTCCTTGGATCTGCAGATGGAGGAGTGGAGGGCGGCGGTGCGGCGGCTGACAGGGTTGCTGGCAGTGCAGGCGCGAGGCAGGGTGCTGTTGGTGGGGTCGGAGGAGAGCAGCAGGAGGCTGCCGTTGTGGGTGCAGAGCGACGAGGTGCTGGCCTCAGAGCTGGCCCAGCTGCAGGACACGTTGTCCCCTTGTGCTGCTGTGCAGTTGAGGGTAACCGTGCTGCTGTCATTGGCCAGCATCCAGTCGAGGATGTGGATGCTGGGATCAGACATGGGTTCTGGATGGAGAGAAGGGATAAAGGTTGAGAAATCCTATCAAGCCCTCCTGCCATCACCTGGAGGTGCTGCTCCAGTCCCAATCCTGCCAGAGGCTCTGGAAACAAGGCTGAGGTCTGCCTTCACTAGAAGGTTCTGGAAAAGGGTCTTGGGCTCACCGCCACCTCTCAGCCCAAAGCTCCCACCATCCCATCCATGCAATGTGTCTCACCATACGCCACCAGTCGGATCTGCTGGTTTTTCTCCCCCGCTTCCGTGGTGACAGAGTATTCACAGAGCTGCTGGTCAAGCCATTGGGTGCTGAGGATCTCCAGTGAGAAGTTGGGTGGAAGAGAATCTGTCCCAGCTTGTCGTTGGTGTAGTTACCTTTGTAGTATGTGCACAAGTATTCCTTGCTTAGTGGGTTTTCCACACTCCTCTTCCATGTGACTGTTCCAAAGTGCTGGGTGAGATTCTGGAAGTAAGGGGAGGATCCCCAGGACTGTTGCCTTCCCCAGGTTGCCAAGCACTGTCTCCATCGTCCCACAGCCTAAGCCTGGAAGGAGAGCAGAGATGTGTGGGAAGAGCCTGGAGGAGCTGTGACCCCTCTGGTTACAGAGCTGCATGAGCAGGGGACAGTGCTGGGATTGCCCTGGTAATCTCATGTCAACCCCTGTGCAATGATCTGCTCGTCTCTCTACTGAGGTGCCTCATTGTGTTTTCAGCCCGAGCTCTGGGTTGGGCACCACATCCTGCCCCAGTGACAGTGGCCCCACACTCCAGCAACCCCTGCGTGCCCCGAGGGTGTCTGAGCACCACCAGTGGCAGTGGTACCTGGTGCACACCAATGCACTTTGGTCACCAATCAGCCCTGGGTTGCTCGTGGGTTGCCTCTGGTTGTGACCATGATTCATAGTTGCCTGCAGCCCCCGTGAGCCGTGGGCTTGTTTTCGTAGGAAACAGTGTGGGGATGACACCAGCTCAGCACTGCTCACCGACAGAGCGTGGAAAGGAACTGTGCCACATCACCCTCATGTCTCCTGCCCTCTTCTTTCCAATGGAGCAAGGGCTCATCCCAGAAGGGAAGAACACAGAGCAGGATAGTCTTGGCACAGATAATATCCCTATCTGCTTTTACTACAACACATCCACTAAATCCTCAACTGAACACACAGAAACTGCTTCCCTCCCCCAGCACAAGTCCTTGCCACTGCTTATTTTTTTCTCCCTCCATGGCATGAAATACAGCAGCTTCAGTGCTGTCCCTGTGAATTACATCTCCGGGATGCCGACCCAGCCATGCAGAGTGGCTGCTATTGCACAGGAACGCAGCAAATCCCAGCATGAAGCTGGAGGCTGCATTTTCTCAGTGGCATGGAGCACAGCGGTTAAGCTCCTGATTAATTACTGAATGGAAAAGCCTTTTTTGAAACATGGTAGCAAAGCCCTCAGTCTGGTAAGCTGCAGCTCCCAGGGAGAAGAGATGCTCCCTGGGGGAAGATCGCTGGGATGTGGGACTGGAGGTTATGAGAGGCCAGGAGCAACCTTATGGAGCAGCTGGGAGAACGTAGGCATAGTGCAGGGTCCAGAGCAGCCCCTGAGTCAGGAATTGCATTCATGGGACTTTCAGAGTTCTGTCCAGGCAGAAAAACCCAGGGGGATTTTGAGGGCAGGTATTCTAGTAACTGTGAGCCAACAGAAAGGAGGCAGCCCTGCGCTGCTGCTTTGCCAGGCAGACCTTTCACTGCATGCCTGGTGACAGTGCAGCAGCACATGGGGACGCGTGTTGCCTCCAGGAATGGCACTGTAAAGAGGGTCGGGGCTCAGTCCACCTCCCCACACACTGATGCTCCTGTAGATGTTCTGTTGCTCGAGTACCACCTCCCCCCCAACCAGCACCCAGAGCTGAGACCCCTGGAGAACATCCACCAGGACCTGCATCTCCTGCTCCCCAGCCCAAAGCACCAGTGATACCCCGTGAAAACCCATGGCAGAGTATTTCACCACTACATATATGCTCCAACCATCACTGCCTTTGTTCATTCATCACCTTTTATTCTCTCCTCCCTCAGTCTGACTATAGAGCACATTAGGGATGCGCCACACATCCCACCTGGAGTCAGGAGCCGTTTGTCTTCCAGATGAATATTTACATTTATCCACCTGCCCACCCAGCCCACAACACACCATTTCTAATACCTACCAAACCCCAAGCCATCCAAACCACACATTTTGCAGATGGCAAAGATATACGTACTCCAAACCCAGCAAGAAGAGATGAGCAGCCAGAGCAACGCTCTGCAGCCCGTGCCTCAGCTCACGGAGCTGCTGCTGGAGTGGAGTTAATATCTGCTGCCATGCTCATTATGAAAACAGGTGTACTCAGATCAGAGGCACTGCTGTGGGCCACGCGTTTCCTGTTTTTTTGGCTGAATGATTCCGTCTCGAGTGGAAAGTATTCAAAGCGCTGCTGAACGCATCGCTGAAGAGCGATGAAGGGCCCAGAGCATCGATTTATAGCTTTCTTCAGAAGTACATCATCTGCCACAGGCCCTTAACTCACTCTCTATGAGAAGAGGAAACGGCCAGCACCAAGTTCACTTTATGTATGGTAACAGATTCCCAGGGCTGCCCAGCATCAGCTGGGGCAGAGGATGCGGCACGAGCACAGCCCACACCTCGCAGCAGGAAAAACAGTGAATATTTGGGGATTAACCCACTCCAGGTGCACGGGATCCAGCGTGGTCCCAGTCTGCAGCCTCAGCTCCAAGGCTGTGCTGCAAGCAGGAGCACAGGTGGTCCTTAAAGCCCACAAGAACCTCAACCTGAGCACTGCGAGGCTCCAGTTTGCTCCCGCAGTGCTTAAACCCAACCCCCCAACTCTGGTGGGGTCTGGGGATAGGGGCAGTATAATCAATGAATATACAGATGTTATAATTAAGAAATAGCCAGGAAACTTAGGCTAAGTAAGATTATTGCAACAGGAAGACAATAAATGGAAAATGCTTACCAATGCTTTAGGCTCACAACATTCCCCACAAGGAGCAATCTCCAGGAAGAGATTCTTCTTGCTCAGTGGCAGTCAGCACTTAAATGGGGTCTAGGAGAGGTGAAGCCAGGCTCTACCCCTTCCAGTAGCACAGGTGAATTGCCTTCGTCTGTGCTCCTGTGGCTGCCTCATTGCTTGCCTCAGGTGGTCAATCAGAGGTTCAGGCCATGATTCAACAGCTCCCATACAGGGGCTGTCCTCACTGCTGTGGGCATTCCCTGGTTGAAGGAGAAGGGATGGGTTATGGATGGAGAAACATCAGATATGAACAGAGCAGGGGTGGGATATGTGTGAAACATAGGTGGAATATGGATGGAATGGAGCAATACGGGATATGAACAGAGCAGGGATGGGATGTGGATGAGATGTGTGGGATGTGGATGGAGGAGGGTCAGGATGTGGATGGAACATGCATGGGAAACAGATGAGACATGGATGAATGTGGATGGAGCAAGGATAGGACATGGATGGGACGGGGGTGGGACAAGGATGGGGCTCGGATGGGATGTGGATGGAGTAGGGATGGGGCATGGATGATACTTAGATGTGAAACGGATGGGACGCAATTGCAGCATGGTTGGGGCATGGATGGGACATGGATGGGATATTGGTGAGACATGGATGGGATATGGATGGGACACTGGTGAGACATGGATGGGACTTGCATGAGGCATGGATGGAGCAGGGACAATGCTCAATACACACCGAGGCTGGAAAAGCTCTGCCTGCACGTTCCATTGCTGGAAAGGGGTGAGAAGATCTTGGTTGTTTTTGTGTTTTTAGTGGAATGAATTATTCATCTCTGCCGCTGCTCAGCGCTGCTGCTTTACAATGGGAGAAGGGTTTTTTCCTGTTACTCTTTTCAAGTTTTTCTTACTTTTTCTCTCTTGTTTTGCGGAAGAAAGCGGAGGCAGCAGCATGAAGCACAAATTCCTCTGTTTGTTTTAAAACAGACCACATTTAGGTGTCAGGATGAAATAAAAGCTGCAATTTATGCCTCCCACCGTTTTCCAGAGGAGCCGGGCTCTGAGCGCTCCATGACTTTTGTCACCAATAAATTATTTCTGATGCTAAAAGCAAAGCTATGCCCAAACCCACATCGGACCAACCCGTGTCCTGCAGGGTTGTCCTTGCTCAGAGAGCATCTGGCTGAGCAGCAGGCAGGGCAAGCTGATGCCTCCGGGCTGGAAAAGCATGTGAGGCACTGGGAAAATATCACAGAGGGGAATTTCTGCACAAACTCACATTGGTGCTGGAAGCATCGGGCTGTAACACACCAGGAATTACCCTGGGCCTCCCAATTAAACATGAGCTGGAATGACTCCTGCTTGTTCCTGGTTCTCAGATGAGCCACCAAGGTCCCCCGGGAGGTGGTGCTTAGGGATGGTTCTGGGAAGTGGCCCAGGGACTGCTGTGGAATGGCTCCTGTCCACAATGAGGGCAGTGGGGATAAAAACAACTCCCCCGTCACCCCCAGTCCCCGACATCAAACCACAGCCCAGAGGAAAGGAACAAGAGAAAGGAACAGTGAGCAGGAGGGACAAAACGCGTGCACCAAAAACGTGAGAGCTACAGTGAAAAGGAAACCATTTAATTCATCACAGCACGGAGTCCCTCTGCTGCTGTCTCAGAATGAGAAACCCCTGCTCTGCCTCCCAAGGGTGCCCCAGGGGCTGGTTTTGGACCCTGAGATGCCCCAAGGCCATGGGGAGCCCCCAGGAAGGGCTCAGCTCTCCCTGCATGTCCTATGGTTGAGGAATGGACTGGTTTTGAGCAGTTAACCATCAATTTATTGATTTGTTTTGCTGGTGTTCTCAAAGCATCGTTGTGAAAGACAGTCCCTGTGGCTGTCATGGTTTTTCATTGATATTCCATATCATAACATCCTGCAGTGAACTGTCAGAGCTGGGAGGGCTGTGTTTCCTGGTTCCTGAGAGCTGAAAGCCACAAATCCTATCAGCTCTGGTCATTCCCATGTAGTTTCCAGGAGGGGGGATGTGACATAAACAAGGACTTCCTTCTGACTGTGCTGCCATCCCACAGCATGGTCAGAAGCCCATGTCCCTCTCCCATTTGTTTATTACCCTTGATTCCTTTTATACTGTATCATCTCACATTCCTTTGCCAGTTCTCATACGTTAGTTTCTCTTTATCTCAATCAAACACCCCACCCCATCGTGGAACAAGAGATTCCAATGTGGCCCAATGGCACCCAATGTGGGGCACAACGATTAGGATATCACTGCTGAACACCTATGGTGCACTGACAGCTTTGGCAGATATTTAAGGGAGGAAGGCTGCAGCTCTCTGGAACCCCTCCCAGCTCTAACAGTTGTCATGATGTGGAATACCCATGAAAAACCATTCACGGTTGCATAGCAAAGGTTGAGATGTTGGCACAGCACATGGGTCACTGGACTGCGTGTCCTGGGTGCTGGTTGTGATGGATTCCTGGAGAACTGCAGTCTCTCAATGGTCAGAGTGCTGTATCCACGCTGGTCCCGCAGCAGGAATGTGACAGTGGAAGGAGGATAGGCATCAACTGTGATGCATCATTATGGTGGAGTGAGCAGGAGAAGGAGGAGACATCCCAGGGACACCAGCACGCTGGTCTTGGTGGAGGTAGTGGCAGCAGAGGACTCAGCTGGAGGTAGAGGGAGAAATGGGGCAGCAAGTTGGACCACCATAGGGCTCACAGCCCCACTTCTCCATCAGCCCAGGGGCTCCTCCACCTCCAACCCAGGGGAAAAGGGGCACCTCCCAGAGACCATCTCCAGCCTCACAGGGACCCCATATCACTGCTGCTGGGCACTCCTTGAGCCAATGCTCTCTCCCACCCGTCCCACTCAGTACCTTCCCAGGAGCAGGGATGCCTGTGGATCAGCCTAGAGCTGTTGGAGGAGACGGGGTTCTTGGCTACACAGGTGTAGACTTCCATCAAGGGACTGAAGGTGAGGAACAGCTCACTGCCGTTATTTGATGCGATCCTCTTGGGAGGCAACCACTCGTAAGTGACATCCGTCAGCCCCACTGAGCAATTCACGGTGACTCTGCAGCTCTCCGGGTTGCTCTCATCCACCACGAAATTTATGGTGGGTTTGGGGACCGCGTCTGCAGGAGACGGGGAGATGTCACAGCCACCCCATTCCCTGCAGGTTGCTAGGACCACCCCTCCAACTCACCATACACCTGCAGTTGGATGCTTTCAGGGTGCTCTTTGCCCGCACCATCCTCCATATACACCCAGTAGGTGTTGCTGTCGGTTTTCTTCAGGTGGTCCATCCTCAGGGTGTTGTTGGAGAAGAGTTTCAGGCGACCCTTGTAAGGGCCATTGGGGTAGCGGACCTTTTCCCCATTCTCATGGATGGCAATTTTCAGGTCCTTGCCAAAGCGCCACTCAACTTTCTGGAAGGAGCCCTGGGTGCTGGGGATGAGGTAGGCCACCCCCCCGCTAAGCCCTTTCACGTGTGTCTGGTCCTGCTGCGCCCATGCTGCTGGGAGAGCACAGAGCTGGTCTACTGGGGCAGCTGGAACAGAAAGTCACAGCCCCCACCTCTTCCACTCCTTTACAGGCTCAAAACATCCCGATATTCAATTTCCCTTTTCCCTCTGCTCATTCCTCTCCCAGCTCACTCGCTTCCAGCATGATGGGACAGGGGGGTGTCCCATGGGGGAGCGATCAGACTGCAGGATATCCCAGCAGATCACATCTGGGGCACAGAATGGGGACAGGAAGAGTAAAAGGAGAGCGTGGGGTGGGGATGCGAGCCCCACACATCCTTCCTGCACACCACCATCGCCATCCCCACCAGCATGTTCCTCACCAGCACGTTCTGCAGCACCATGGCCCCAGTTAACGTGGACCCAACCTATGCGGCCCCCGCTCAGCATCGCCCCGGAGGAACCCAGACGTACCTTTCACGAAGAAAACAAGAAGCTGCCCCGTGAGCACCACTGCCGCCTTCATTCCATGTTGGTGTCCAAAATCCACACCGAGCATCTCAAACAACCCCCCCCCAGCAGCACCCCCCAGCTGCAGGTCTGACTTTTCCACTTACAGAAACATTTTCATGAAGCCATAGCGATCGCCAGCTAATATCACTAAAACTGAAAACCAAAAGCTGCCCTTTTTAACTTCTGCTGACGCTCTGCAGAGCGCAGGCGTGCTCTACTTCCTCAACCCTAGTTTCTGTCACAAGGAGTCATCAGAGAGACCACCCAGTCCGTCTATCATAGAATCATAGAATCACCAAGGTTGGAAAAGACCTAAAAGATCATCCAGTCCAACCGTTCACCTATTCCCAATAGCTCCCACTAAACCACGTCCCTCAACACAACATCCAGTCTTTCCTTGAACACCCCCAGGATCGGTGACTCCACCACCTTCCTGGGCATCCATTCCAGTGCCTGATCACCCTTTCTGAAAAGTAATACTTCCTAATGTCCAGGAATGTCACTAACAAATGAGGTTTTTAGCTCGTTATCTTTCTGCACTGTTTGAAGCAGTTGGTCCTCACTGAGACCCCACTGACGATGAGCACCAGCACCTTAAGCCTTTTTCCAAGGTAATGACTGATTCTGTTTGTGGGGGCAACGGGACAAGGACTCGTGGCAGAGCTGCAGAGCTCTGAGCTGCTGATTTCCAACTCCAGCTCATATCCATCAGGGAGCAGAGCCAGTGCCTGCAGGAAAGGTTTCTCACCTCCCTATCCCTCCTGCAAAATGAGGCAGCAGCCTCAGCCCCTTCTGTGTGTTCTGCCCTGGATTTCCACCCATGCCAGCACGGCACTGTGCCCCGACCCCATTCAGAGGTCCACTTCCTGCCGTCGAAACAGCAGTGAGTCGGTACTGACAGCACAGGAGAAGACTTTGCTCACCCGGAAGAACGAAGAAGCCCAAATCCCACGTGGCTTTGCATTCGTTTGCATTTTGCCTTCCCCTACGTTAGGGCCAGAAGTACTTTGCTCCCTCCCACCTGGATGCCTCGAGGTGCGGATGATGGCACCAAGCAGCAGCACGGCTCTGCCTGAGCCCCAGTGAGCAGCGCCCCCCCCCCGAGTTTCGTGTTGGCACAGCAGCTCCCCCCCCCCTCCCCCCCACACCTCTCTACCATAGCAGCCTCTTAGCACGCTCCCCATTAACCATCCCAATTAACGCTCCTTTCGCAGGGAGCAGACACAAAGGTATTTTGATGCGGGGGACTCAGTCAGAAGGAAGCGGGCGGCGCCGTCGGGAGTGAGCTCCCATCAAAGAGACACGTTTAATTTTAATCCCAAATAAAAGCCTTGATCTCGCCTTTGGTGCGATTTTTTGAAGCCAGAGTCCCCTTTCTCTCCCCCCTCCCCTCCTCCCGGAGCCTCTCGTGCCGTCGGAGGGCGTCGGAGGAAGGAAGGACCGTTGGGTGCAGGGCTGAACCCCCAGCAGCAGTCAGGATAGGGGGTGGTTGTGGTGTTAGCAAAACCCAAGTCCAGATGTTTCCCATCCCCAATGAGTCCCCGAGCTGCAGAAGGAGGGGGGGGGGCAGAGAATCCAAGTGCCTGCAGGGCTCAGGAGTTTTGGAGGTCCGTGGGAGATGTGGATGAGCTCTGAGAGGAGGTGTAATGTCTCAAAGGTGCCGTCACCTGCAGGTAAGTGGGTGAGGGTCAGTACAACAGAAGTGTTTGCAGCCCTTCCTTGTGCGTGGTGTGAGGCTTCTGTCGGTCACCAAAAATCACCCAGAAAGTCACCCAAATTCCAGCACCAAGAATCTCAAGAGCGTGGTATTTGGAGAGGAGATGTGAAGGGCTCGTCTGTCCGCTGCCCTGTGCCTGTTACCTCCATGTAGGCAGTGGAAACCAAAGCTCGGTCCAACTTCTTCATCTTGAAGGAGGGGGACTGCAAAGCAGAGCGTGGATCTACCCTTAGGGATGGGGTAGGGGGCTGCTGCCCCACCAGAGGCCCTAAGAGCAGCTCCAGAGCTCAGGGGCTGTGAGGTCCCACCAGTGTCCTCAGCACTGATGAGGATTTGAGCTTCTCTGCTTCTGCAAAGGGGCCATAGCCGTAGCACAGAACACTCACCTTCATGCTGTGCTGAACAGTGGAGTAAATGGTGCAGCTTTCAGGCTTTTGAGGGCTTCTGGGCCTCTACCAGTGGGGAGCAGAGGAAATATGGAGAGAAAAGCAAATTATGGACAAAAACCCTACACCTCTGGGGCCACACAGCTCCCCTGGGATGGATCCCAGCACAGGGTCCCACCTGTCCTTTGGGGTTGACCACAGCGTAGACGGTGTTACCCACCATGTGAGCCTCACTGTTCCCATTCTGCAGGAGAAAACAGCCCCAAACTGGTTAAAAGGACACAGTCCAGGCTGACAGCAGCTATCCTGGAGCCATGTGCTGCCCAGGGCTCAGCGTGGGGGGGGAACCCAACACTCACAGGCTCTTGACCGGTTTGGAGTTTGCCCACCTCCTCATAGACAGTCAGCGATGGCTCTGTGTGTTCTGGGGGAGCTGAGGGTGTCGGAGCTGGGGAAGAGAAATTAGAGCTCACAGTCCCACACATCCCAGCAAAGCAAAGCAGGGGAGGAAGGCGCCCCTCGGCTGTGGGATAAGGGGCTTCAGCTCAGAATAGAGCAAATGTTGAGCAAAATCCAAACAGTGCCCCAGACACCATGAGATGGACTCTCCTGTGCCAGCAGCAGCTTTGGGATGGAAATAGTCCCCAAGAGCAGGGTAGAACCAGGGGCTGGTGGCAGCACGGGGGGGACGCAGGGGCACAAAGGGTGTCAGGAGGAGATGCGCAGCCAAATCCCCACTCCAAGTGGATCCAAACCTGCAGGGCGGTCCTTCCTCCTCCTCCTCCAGCACCAGTAGGTGATGGAGCCAGCAATGCAGACAGCCAGCACCAGCAACACGGTCACTGCCCACCACGGGATGGCACCAAACAGCCCTGGGAAGGAATGAACGGAACAGGTAACATGAAAGCAGAAGGCGGACATTTAAAGATGATTCTATGACTCTACGATTTCCAAAGCACAGCTCCCATCATGGCCGGTGCATGGGGAAGAGACTTGCCCAGGGAAACCACAACATCCATTTGCATGCAGTTTCCAGCAGTAATGTTTCCCTTTTCAGTAGAAGGGCACATTTTCTCCCTGGTAGCAGCAAAGCAGCTTGGGAGGGGGGGGAGAAGGGAAGAGGTTGGGGGGAAGATGAAGGCCCCGAATTTGCAGCGATGCAACCCCAAACCTGGCTTTAGTGGAGCAGAGGACAGATCACCTGTCTGGCTGCAGGCTGTGGCCGTGTCGATGCTGGCCGTGCTCCAGCTGGCCGGGTTGCTCACATTGCAGACATAATGCCCAGGCTGCACATCCTTGGGCACTTCCAGCACACTCTGGTTGCCCAGTGGCTCCCAGTCACGGGACCAGCTGTAGGACACGGCGGTGGCCTCAGGCACAGTGCAGGACAGCTGGAAGCTGCACCGTCCCTGCTCCTGCTGCAGCACGCGTGTCTCCAGGTGTGGGCTGCCCACAGGCTCTGCAGGGACAGAGAGGTTAGAGGGGATGGGGAGGGAGGAGGGCAGGAGGTCCAGGCACTCACCCCACACTGACACATGGAAGCACTTGGTCGAAACGGACCCATCTGACTTTTCAATCTCTGCAAAATAGTTGCTGTTGTCTGCTTGGGTGACAGCACTGATCTGCAGGGAGAAGGGCTCCCGGTGGAAGATGGCTCTCCGAGAAAGAGAACTGTTTGCAGGTTCAACTTTATCCTTCCAAACCGTCAGGATGCGCTGCCGGGGTTCTACCCCCAGTTCCACTTTCCAAGTAACAGATATCCACCCCAGTGGCAGTGGTTCTTCCAGCAGCAGCTGCAGATCCATACCAGTGAGCACTGCTGTGTCCCTGCACCCTTCAGCTCCTGTGGAAGGCATGAGGTGAGCACAGTGTCCCCATGCAGACAGACAGTCTGGGATGGGGACTCCTATTCTGCACCTCGTGTGCTGCTGCTCCATCCTCTCTGGGCAGCACTTCTTGGTGCAGATGGAGCAGGGATGGATCCCTGCATGCTCCCATCTCCTGCAGTGCTGCGTCTGTCCACACCCTGCACTCTGGCCACATATTGCAGCCACCCGTCCAACATCCCCTCTGCCCTGCCCAGAGAGCAGGCAGTTTCAGGCCAAACAGGAAGTGTCCACTTCTTCTTCATGCCCCATCTTCCTCCTCGCTGCTGCAACCTGAATCTGACCCAAAGGACCCTTCCCTCCCAGAGAAACTCTGCTCTGCTTTCCCCTTTCGCAAAGCAGCCACGGATATCCGGGGCTCTGGCAGAGGCGAGATAAAAAGCCCCTGAAGCAAATACGAGCCAGCAGTCAGCAGGGCCTGGTGTGCACCACTTCCTCCATCTGCATGTTTGGGACAACATCGGACGCAGCAGCAGCCCAAAAGCAGTGCGTGTCTGGCCACCACAGCCCCAGCAAGCAGCGAAAGAGGTGTGAGGTGTGAGAGGTGGTGTTAACCACATTCGGGGGCTTGCATGCAGCTATTCTGAGCCCCTGCTCGCTGCAGGCTGTGCTGCACAGCTTCCAGCCAGCTGCACCCCACCTTGTGCAGCCCCCGGGGATGCTTTGCACTGAGTTGGTGGTGGGGTTGAGGCTGAGAGGAGAGCAGGGGAGGAGGTGATGGGCAGTTGAAAGGGAGAGGTTGGAATGGAATGGGAGCTCTGGAGGTGTGCGCAGAGTCTGGGGGTGTCAGGGGGTTTCTCGCAGCACCGCCCTGCTGCCCTGCAGCACTGTCCCTGGGACTGGGGAGGAGAAACTCAGGCACAACCGTCTCCAAGGATTATTGCAGTCAGAAGGTCTGTGTTGCTGTGTGAGGGCTGGGGATGGCTCTACCTGGCCTGGGCGGGGCTGGGACCAGAGCAAAGCCAACCCCCCCCAATCCATGCTCCATCTCCTAGGGTACCCCGAGCCCCTGTGAGCGCTCTGCCCACCCCACCGTCCTGCATGGGACGGCCCCAATCCCCAACCAACTCCCCCCACTCCGTGCCCCCTCCTCACCTTGCCCGCTGCCTGCCACCCCCAGCACGATGCACAGCAGCGTCTCCAGTGCATGCAATGCAACCCTGTGCTGCCACATCTCCGAACCGTGTGAGCGAGCTGCCTGCAGCTGGAGACGGCGCTGGGAGACGGCGCCCAGCCATCAGCAACTTCCTCCCTCACACCCCCATGGGCGCGTGCTGCTGTGCAACACCCTCTGCGTCACCACCTCCCCTCAGCCCCCCACGCCGTCCCCACGTCACCCAGGGGAAGGATGGAGCCATCCATGGCTCTGTGACCACAGGGGATCGATGCTCCTGCAGGGCTCGGTGGCTGTGCGTCTCTGAGGAAGCTCATTCTAAAGGCCCAAGGAGGTTCTCTGGGGGTTTTGCTTTCTTTTTGCGCTTCTGTTGTGGGAGGACTGGGTGTTACAACATGAGAGCACCACAAGTGCAGCTCAGAGAGCGCCGAGCTGGCTCTGGCCACCTGAAACCCCTTATGGCATGAAGATGGAGCTCTTTGGGGGGTTTTGTCTCATGCACTTCCCCTGTGTTTTGCTGCACTTCCCACTCAGCACCATGCAGTGCAGCCGCCCAGCAGTGCTGGGGGAGAATAGCTGCCATCAAGTGGTGCTGAATGCAGAGGACGCTGTTGCAAAGGACAGAAATTCTCCCTGCTGTGGGTGTTACTTCACTCGGGTCGTTAAGAAGGAGTTGTTGTGAGAAAAGATGAGGTTTATTTGTAAGAGAAAGACACTTATGGAAAGACAGTGTGCAGCTCTTGTGGGGCTTTAGTGTGCTCTGGGGTCATGGGAAGGGGGAAGAAGCAAAGGCTAGGGCTGAGCTTCTCTTTGTCCATGGAAAAAAAAAGCCATTCCCTTCCTATCAGCTGCATATAACAAGCATTTCTCCGGGAAAAAAAAATAGCCCCGAAGTGGGTGTATTGGCAATCGCTCCTTCTCACCAGCCCGGGGCGCTGGAGGATGTGGGAGGTGTGGGAGGAACTGAGAGCTGCTTCCCAAATCGAGGGAACCAGAGCGCTGTGAGTGTGATGCTGAGCAGTGCGGTGACCTCAGCAGCACCAGCGCTGCATCCTCCCTCCATCCCGACTGCGTGGGGAAGCTCAGCCCATAGCTGTGCATCGTTGGAGGTCTCTTCTCGTTGCTCCGTAACTCCAGATCTGCTGTGTCCAGACAAACTGAGCATGCAGTGATGTATCGGGCCTTTATTGGTCTCCGTAGATCCATCAGTAAATCGGCAGCGCTGGGAGATACCGATGAGATGAGGGCAGCTTTATTCCACTCTTGGCTTTTTTTTCTACCTGAGATTTCAAGGCTGCCCCAAGCACTGCAGGCAGAGCCCCACGCAGCCCTACCAGCTCACCCCAGCAGTCCCCTATGGGTTTGGTGCACGCTGCTGGTGACACAGAGCCGAACACAAGGAGGATCCTGTTGCACACAGCCTTTCCTCTATGGGAGCACTGCATTAAGGGGCAGACAGGCAGCTCCTGAGCAAACCCTTGGGAAAACTACATGCAAGCATCCCCAGCTCAGCTCCATCTCCCCAGCAGTGAGAAGATCCCCACATCCCTAACACAAACAGTGCACGAGGTCCTCCTTCCTCCTCCTCCACCACACCCCCTCCAGTGCCTCCACACCCCTATAGGACCCCAACAACTGAAACGATGCAGCAATCAGCATCAACCCCCTCTGCTCCACTTCTCCTTTCGGTGGGATGCAGCACAACCACGCTTATCATTCAGTGTTAATTGCCGGGCGCTCATTAGCTGCCACCGGGCCGATCCCTGCGTGTTCCTGAAGTGACGTGGAAGCCGGACCCCAATCTCCCCCTTTCCCCCCTCTTCCCCCCCCCTCCCCCCCCCCCCCCCCCCCCGGCTCGAAGGCAGAGGAGCAAAAACTAATTAAGGCTACAAAGGAAACTCGGCGCTCGGCAAGGTTGAAAACATCCATTCCAGAGCAGGGGCTGAGCCGCTTAATTAGCGCTTTTGTCTGCGGCCGAATTCAACATGTAGGGAACGATTTACATCAAGGGGACGCTCCCTTTGCTGTCGGAGCTCCTCGCAGCCTGCCCAGGGAGAGCTGAGCTGTAAGAAGGAGAACGAAGGAGGGGGGAAAAAGGAACGGGAATGAAAGGGAAGCGTTCGGCACGTCTCACGGACCGCGTTGAGGAGGAAGGGAAGATGCTGCATGCTCGAAGCACCGCATTGCAGAGGAGAAGGTGTTTTCATTCAGTGCATCATCCGTGGATTCTCATCCCCCCTCCAGCGAAATGTGGCCCCTGAGATGTGCAGGGGGCTCGAGGGGGGGGTGGATGGGACGGGTTTACGTGAAGGCGGCGCCGCTCGTGTGGACGCAGAGGGGACGGATACACGCGGCCAATGCCACCCCCGATGGGACAGTGTGTGGGGTGGGAGCAGGACGAAGCCGCCCCGCATCGGGCCGTTATCTGCCCTTAAACCCCCGTCCGTACGCAGCCTCATCCCGCAGCATCCCACCCCCGTCTCCTCTGCCAACGAAATGGGGGAAGAATGAGCGATTTCAGCCCCAGCGCTCTCGCGGCCCCGCGCGGCTCCGTCCGGGAGGTGGCAGCACGGGATCGCGTTCAGTGTCACCCGGCCGGACACCCCCTTGCACCCTTTGGTGCTGTGGATGAATCCCAAATTTGTGGTGAGGGCACGAGTTTCATTTCCGAGCGGGTCAGGGGCGGCAGAAGGCTCGGGATGTGAATGGGGTGGGTGTTAGAGTTTGTGTGCATAGGGGAGCAAAACAGTTCTGTGCAATGCCTCCGAGCCCAAATGTAACTCACTCACGCTGTGGGGCACAGCACTGAGATCCCTTTTCCAGGTGGATTTGATGGGATGGGGCTGGGATACTCTGGGCTCCCTATGACCACTCCCAACCCATGAGCACCATCACCCCTGGGTTCCCAGCATCTCTACAGTTTGATGGGCTCAGCATGGCACGACACGTCATCCTTCCCCCCACCAACCGTCCCCCCTGGGCAGGCCCCAGTCCTGGCACATCCTGACAGAGCAGCTGTCACTTCCTCACTGATGCCCATCCCACTGCCCCCCATCACCACTTCCTCACCCAAAAGCTCACCCACGTCCTTCCCTGAACACACTGAGCAATTCGCCTCCTCCTTCCCCAGTCCTGGCTGCAGCACCACCGCGCTCAGCCCCACGGATTGGGGATCTGCAGGAAGGGACCCCCAGGCATGGTCAGAGTTGGGGCCGTACTGTTCAGCTGCGTGCTGCTGGCGATGGCTGCGGGTAAGGGTGCTGCCTTTGGGGGGCTTTGAGGGATGGATGGAGGCATTGCTTTCACCGCTGGGGCAGGGGGGGGGAAGAGGATGTCACCAGCACATGTCACCCTGTCCCTCGCAGGTCTGCAGTGCTGCCATGCCCTCAAGGTGCTGAGAGGGATGTGGGGAAAGCCGCTGTCCTTCCCGGCGTTGCGCCCCTTGGCTGAGGACATCGTGAGGATCATCTGGATTTCTGAAACCCACAGCACGCACATCGCCGAAGCCAAGCCTGGGGTGAAGGAATTTGCAGTGAATTTCCTGCCTGACTTCCAAGGCCGGCTACGAATCCATCCCCAGTTGCTGTCGCTGGAGATCACGGAGCTGCGCAGCACAGATGCAGGCCAGTACTCTGCAGGGGTAGACATCGCCTCCAAACCCAGCAGCCCCAGGAAGTTTACCTACCGTGTGTTGGTTCTCGGTGAGTGCCAGTGCCCCTGGGGGAGACGTGCTGATGGATCCCCACTGCACGAACCCCCTGACCCCAGCCCGCTGGCCCTGCAGCTTCCTCTGGGAGGTGTGCAGAAATCCCCGTTCCCTTTGTGGTGACATCACCACACTGCACCCAATGCATCCAAACCCGCTAACACCCAAATCCTGGGGGGGGGGGGGGGGGGGGGGGGGGGGGGCATTTTTCCCCCCCCGCCCACCCCCCCCCCCCCCCCCCCGCGGGGGGGGGGGGGGGGGCCAAGGGATGGATGGATGCATTTTCCCCCTGCAGAGCACTCCCACGCTGACCCCATGTCCCTCACACACAGATGACCCCCCTGTGACAACTGACGGTGACACAGGAGGACACAGCAGGAGCACAGCTGGACCAGGAATGAGCTCTGAGCCACATGTTGGGGAGGGGACCACGCCAGACCCGGGCAAGGGGCAGCTCCTGGATGCTGGGGGGTCTCCGGGGCCATGTGGGGCACAGGGTGGGTACTGCACACTCAGGGGGTATCTGGTGGCTGCTGTGTTTGGCCCACTGGTGGTGTTACTGGTGGCTGTGCATGTGGTGACCAGGCGTTGAGACTGGGGGATGAGTAGGACCCACACTGGGCTCCAGAGGGACAAGAGCGAGGTCTAAACCCACCCAGCACAACTCCACTGTTCTCCCAGGATCACCAGATTTACCCAGACAGGAAAAGCCACATTCACCCCAGTGATGCTCTATAAAGGCATAAGGTGCATTTCGTCATCTCTTGCACAAGCCCCAAACCCGGTGACACTGCTTCCTCCCAGCGGCCACACAAACCCCACTGCGTCCCAGCACTCCCAGTCTGGGATCTCCTCCTTTATGGGGTCAGCATCAGATTCGTACCCGCAGCCCCGAATTCGGTGCGAGGTAACAATTCAGCATCTCATCCAACCTTCCACAGTTTATAAGAAGTGAATTATTTACCGGTGACCCCAACTAAAACGCCACGCGGCATGAATTATGGACGGGCAGATCTGTCAAAAAGTTCTCATAAATAAGTGATCCGGTGCCATCTTCGTGTTCCCAGAAAATTACTCATT